AAATATCTGCATGTTTTGGTTTAGATAAGGAAATTTCTCGCATGCGGACAAACTGGAGGGCAAAAAAACAATTTGAATACATGAGTAGCAGAATAACTCCGTTAACTCAGTCAGACTTGGACATGAAGATATTATTCATTTCATGCAGAAAAACCATTAAATCCAAATCAAACCACTTCTTTCTCTCTCTGTACTCATTGCTATAGCAACTGACAACAACTAAACAACAACAAAACATTTCACACACAAAGCAGAACGTTCAGTCTGTTGCAGGTTTCAAAACTCTGTTACGAACCACAGGGTGAAAATAGCAATTTCAATGATTTTATCATTATATGTTGTTTTTGGCAGGTGAAGCTCAGGCTCATCTGACCGCAGATCAGATGAGCCTGAAATCCTCCCAAAGGGCAACAAGCATCCACAACATGTAGCAGGTAAACTGCCTTCACTCATGCAGCCTTTTCTTACTGCCTCCACCTCCACCTTTTCATCATCGTTATTCCTTTTTCTCTTTTTGCCAAAAGCAAGAGTTGCCTGGAAGAATTTTGCAGCAGAATATTGCTCCAGATTCATCATCCTAATTAGTTAAGATGAAATAAAAGAGCTGGGTTTTATGATTATTTAGCAGAGAGAAGTAGCTGGCAGTTCTCTTTCACCTGCAGTAAACAGCCTAAGGAGATCTCCCCGCAAATTTTGCTCATTTCTGTCTCATCAAGATGTAAAAACTTGTCCAGCTTGTCTTGAAAGCCACATTCAAAAAGTAAGAATCTGCATTTTTTGAGCTGAGGTGACACTTTCAATTATTTAGTCGAATCTCTTAATGCATGTTCATGTTGACTCTCCACTCACTGAGAGGTGGGCAAAGAACCCAAAAATTACACTGCAGTTAGGCGAGCACTACATCAACATGTTTTACTCAAGTAAAAGTAAAAGGTATCCATCCAAAAAATAAAAGTCAAAAAGGTAAACAGTCAATTCAAGTAACTGATCAAATCATCAATCATTTAAATTACATCATCAGACAGATCAAAATAAAGGTTAAGTGAAGTTTTGGTATTTTAAGGAACAAAATGACAATAATTCATATAAATAACAAAGAATAACAAAATCAGGCAAAATAATGTTTCCAAATCAAATTATATCAATAAAAAAACTTCTGAAACTTTAGCAAAAACTGCAGCTCTGTGTCTGGTGTATCTTTGCTTAAATCATGTATATTTTTCATTTAGTGGATAGAAAATCCAGAAATTTCACTCAAGTAAGAGCAGAAATACTTCATAATACAATTACTTAAGTAAAAGTAAAAAGTACAGCATCGTAAAAGTGCTGCTAAAAGTAAACTTTTTCTAAAACGCTAATCAAGTAAATGTAGATGAGTAGAGTAACTAGTTACTACCCAACTCTGCACTCACTGCAAAAAACAACTTTCATGCAACTTAGATGTATTTTCCTCTCGTGGTGGCGCCCCCTGGTGGTACGCTGCCCTGCAGGAACTACTCATGTCAAAAAAAGGCCAAAGCTTTCACCTGAACTTAATCTAGACACACTCACTTGTATTTTACACAGTAGCTCACAGACTATCACTGAAGAGGGAATTTTGCTCCTAAATGTCGGTACTGAAACGCTTCCTGTTCCAATCTGAACTCCCTGCAATCCTAATTTATGCAATATGACTTATTAAAATGCATCTAGATTCAAAGAAACCCACTGAGTGCTAATGCAGGGCATTATAATTTTAAAAGCTCCCTTTGTAGTTTAGAGTTTCATCAGAGCTGGGTGTGATGAAATGATTGTGACACTGTGCTGGAGAAGTAAACCGTGTGGCTCGGTTGCAGTGCGGGAACATCTGAGAAGGTTTTAATTTGATTCTCAGTGAAGTTATGCAACTAAAAACACAGCAATCAGCTCTGAATAAAACTCCTGGGTCTGCTGGTGCTTGAAATCCTGGAAAGTGCTTGAATTTCTTAATAAAAGTCCTTGAATGTGCTTGATATTCAAACTGCACAGTTTTGTACTAAAGTTTGATCAAACATTTGATTAAAAGCCTAAAACTGGAAAATATTTACAGTTATATCATTTTATTTCTTCCCTGTGTGAAATTAAATCAGACTTAATCTTTATTTTTTCAGGTCAGAAACAATTAACAAAATTATTTCTATTTGCTAAACACAAAAAAATCTAAAATGAACATTTTTAGTTTTTGTGTGACTGTGCTCTGTTTGAGCATTTGAAGGGGATTTGCATCAATAGGATTTGTTTGGATTCTTTCTATGTAATGAATGTTTATTATTCCTGTTGTTTTTATTGATTTGTGTGATGGAAATAAAGGTTAGCTTTTATTTTAAATGTTCTACAAACATATTCAAATAATTGTTTGTATTAAATTAACACAAGTGTTTTCTTGTCGAACCAGTCAGGTGTGTGAAAGACATTTGAAAATGTGAAATTTTGCTATATTTTAGTTTCTCTTGTCCCTGATGTAAAGTGTACAATTCAACCACAAGACATCATTAATATCAGTGATAAATTATACCATCAAATATCAATTTCAAACTGTTTTTTTTTAGTTCATTTGTATTGTTTTTTATCTCCAAATCGCGTGAAAAGTTTGAAAACTTACGATTGTAATGCTGGAAAAGTGAAAAAGTTTACAAAGCCAACCTTTTTAGCTACAGTCAATAATTTGTGTCATTTCAAGATTCAAGATGTTTGCACTTGAAACAAGACAAAATACTTGTATGTTTTTCCCGTGTACATTTAGACTTCCAGATTGCAAAATTCAACAGAAAGTCCTTGAAGTCGGAAAATCTGACTTGGAACGTTTCCAACATGATGCTGAAAATATGTAGAAATAACCTTTTTATTTGTGTTTCTAATCATTTCCCCTTAAACTGGTCATTTCTCTGTAACAAAGTTCCTTCACACTTTGAATAAATGGATAAATGTTGTTCCAGTCAGACGAACTGAACGCAGCAGAAACTTAAATCTATTCTCCTGACGGCGGGAGCCGATTGCTTCAGAGGAGCTGCTGTTCCTGATGAGAGCGGAGAAATTCAGCAGGCGGTTTCACAGCGCAGAAACGGCCTGCAGACTCAATAATTCATACAGACAGAGCAGCGCTGAATTATTGAACTGAGCTGTTAGTACAATGAAAACTGCAGCGCGAATGTCCTGAGCGCCGCTCTGGTTCACAACAAGAAACTGACAACAGCTGTTTATCCCTGACCTTTGACCTGTTGGTGAGAGACTTTAGAAACAGAACCGTCCGTCACATCCCAAGACAGCCTGGGAGAATAAAATGCTTAAAATCCAATCAAGTGGTTCTCTTATTTTGAATAAGGTTCAGATTACAGACAGGAATCTGTTCATTCAAATTATTTTTAATAAAACTCAAAAGTAGAGCTGCGACGAGCATTAATTTTAGTGACCAATTATTCTGATGATCAATCAAATAATCATCAATACTAATACCAAATAATGACAAAGTAGTTGGGATTTAATTATATATTAAAAAAGAAAAAACTTTATTACTTTTAGGTTTTGTAACTTTTATAAGTGAATATCTTATATTTATGCATCACATGGAAATAAAAACAGTTTTCTGTAGTGAAATTGAACAAAATGTTATTTTATTTGACCAAATTCGGTGGTATAATAAACCTTGTGATGGGTTATGAGTTTCAACTCAGTTTTTGGATCATTTTAACTTTAAATAATGATCCATTTAATCTCATCTTTGGATGTTTGGCCAAACCCAGCATGTTGGTTCAATCCGTCAATCAGCTAAAACATCCCAGTGTTGGCTCCTCTGGTCACAGGCTGCACTATTTTTAACCCAGGATTTAAGAGGTTTTGCTTAATTTCTGCTCTGATTGTTTTGTTCCTTCAGCAACTGGCCTGTTTTAGAGTCTGTGCTCCACTGTTGGCAATTATTCGATAACTAAATTGACAATTATTAATCAGTTCATTGTGTATTTTGAGCTGTTGCATCAGGTTCTGAATATCTGCTGAGTTTACAGTTGCTACGGCTCAAAAGGAACATGGGAACTATTTTGACCTCTTTCGGTTCCCACTGGCCCAGAGACAAATAATTTTTAAATAATCAAGTGTTTTCAGAAACAGACCAGCTGCCACTCACAGTCTCAATAGAAAAGACCATAGAAGGTGGACTTTGGTTTTGTGAGACCTTCAAATATTTAAAGAATTAAATATTGTGGATTCAGAGTTTTATGCTGATTGGCTGCAGTGCAAATTATCCACAAGATGTCAGTGTGCAGCTTTTCCCAAACCATCCACTTGATACAATTAATTATTTCACCATATCTGAAAACAAATGTACTTTTCTGTTCAGACAGTCTACAGATAATCTAATGAAAAGTCTAATTATTTTCTTGATAAAACATAATCAACTGTTTCTTGAGGCAGAATTAATTCAACCGAACAACATTTTATAAACTGACTTCCAAATCTGAGAGTCTTTTAACATTTATGTTTAAAAATATTTGGGTTGTTTTAATGATAATGCCCTTCCTGAGTCATTTTATTATTTTAGATCCTCATATCTGAGAGTGTTCATGTCCATTTCTCACTAAACTGCTGAATCTCAGCATTTCGTTGTGAATTCATGTTCAGCTGAAGTTAGAAACCAAAATACATTCAAAATAACTTCCACAATCAGCACTTATCCACACATGTTCCTTAGTGATCGCCATCGTTTTTACCTCTTCACTCCTAATAAAATACAAAATTTAAAGGTTCGATAAAACCAGCCAACATAGCCTCATGTTTTCTGCCAGTTTTCTCACATTTTGTTATGGAAATCTGATATAAATTTATGACCAAGAGAAAGAAAACTAGACTTCCTGGTTACAGGACTAAAGGTCAACTGAAAACTGGTTTTACTGGTAAATATCCACAACTTCCTCCTGCACTTGGCAAATTCCCAGAACAATTTTCATGCATCTTTTCTGCACTGAAATAAGATTAGCTCTTTATTCTTATTCATAATATCCAAGTTTCATGGAATATAGAATCATCAGCATGGGACGTTTCTCACCAATCAACAGTACCGACCCGGCCTTTTAAAGTCTCTCCAAATCCAAACACGGTCCATCTGTTGAAGAGTTGTGGTGGCGATAATCTTTGAGTATTCACAGCGACTGTATTTTATAGGAAAAACGTGGAAGAGGTTCCAACCTGGAGGATCTGTTGGAGGGATCCCCAGGTGTCTCATACATAAACCCAAATATGCATCTTCAATGTAAAGAGCTTTAACGTGTCTGGAAGCCTCAATGAGCTTTTTGGTGAGATCCAAAGACAAAATGTAGCCCAGACCCAAAGCATAGGGAGGGTAAACATCATCGCTGACCAGATCCACAGGCACATAGAACCTGGACGTGGGAACCCTGGAGACTTGTCCTCTATGTTCCACCAGGCCGGTCATGTAGTTTGTCCTTGGAGCCTTGAGGAGCAAGCTGACCAGATTGGGAACATTTAGAAACATGTCTGAATCGATTTTCATGGCGTAAGCGGCGCTGGAGCAGTAGGAGTTCAGCCACTCCAGCATCACCATGGTCTTTATGGTCAGGTTCTTGTAGCAGTCCACAAAGTCTCCCTGGATGAGGTCGTGATGCTCGTTGCTCTCCTGCAGCAGCTGCTGGTGGACTTGCTCTGCATCGTCTCCAGTCTGCATCCCCAGCAGGAAGAGCAGCGCCACCACTTGGTTGTTCACCAGCTTCTCACTTCCCCAGCTGTTACGGATGACGTCGCGATGAGCTCGGTTGCGTGGTGCTACTGGTACGATCAGAACCACAAACGGGTTCTCCTGCTTACATTTCAGTTCCTGGTTGATAGTAAAGTGGTACTCATAGGGGTACTCCACCAAGTACGGTCCAGGAGACACATAAGGAGCCGCTGTCTGTTGGGCCGTCTGGGTTTCTAGGGTCTGCCAATTGCGGTTCCAATCAAGTGAAACATTCCTGAATGTGAAAAGTTTTGTCAAATTATTTTGTATCAACCATTTAAAGTTCCAATCAGGTGCCATGTTCCTTATGTTTGTGCAGTAGTAAAAAAACACAACTCCAATGACCAAAAATAAGAAGAAGCATTGGTTTCGTGACAGAGAAAAACGTCCATCATTGATCTTCATTTCCTGTCTGGAAACAAAATGAAAGAAATGTAAACATTATGTTAATGTTTATCTGTCCGAATTACCAAAGCATTTAGTTTACTGAATAGAAATCGAAAAAGTGGCTAAAATAAATCTTTTATAATAATAGATTTTATCTTAAATCTCTTTTCAGGACACTCAAGAGACAATTTAAAACAAAAGCAACTGGAAAAGAAGTGCCATGCAAAAGAGACAGGAAGAAATGAACTAAGAAGAATAGGCTAATCCAGAAAGAGGAGTTTCCAGACCAGATTTAAAGAAGTTAAGAAGCAGATCGACTCAAAGCTCAGCTGCCCCTGGACAGACGAACAGATGAGGGCAGGAGTCGGATCCGAGGGATCGGCCCGGGAGACATGGAGGGACGAGACGACGCAGGGTTTTAAAGGCGATTAGGAGCAATTTAAAGACGACGGACATGCAGAGGTTTGCAGAGGCAGAACAAAGCAAAGAAAAGACAAAAAAAGAAAGAGACTCATCTAAGTGTTTGAATTGACAACATGTGTGAGTTCACCTAATTTCAAATATTTGAAGAGTGATGTTTGAATACTAATGTCATGTAGGAAGCAAACATCGGAAAAGAACCAGAGTGCAGACAAAACAGTTGTCATGTGAGCCATGATTTCATGAATAAGGTGTAAAACACTTACAAAAACTGGGAACCCAGAACATGAGATGGTGAGCATCAATGCAAAGCGCAGACTGAGCAAACTGAAGGAACCAATGGCCAGAAATGACTCTGAGAGGAAGATATACAGAGGAGCCGACACAGGAACTAATCAGGGAACTAATCAGGGAACTGATTGCAGCTGGGAAGGCAGCGAGTGACGCTTGATGAGGGGAGAAAATGGCAAAGATTGAAGTATAAGGAGAGAAGCAGAAATAAATGCCAACTCTAACAAAAATAACACCTAAAAAGAGAAACTAAGCTAACAAGAGGAATAAACTGGAACGAGAAGATAATACAAAGTGCAAAACAAACCCAAAACTCAAGTACTGAACAAATTAGAAGAATAAACTAGGCTCCGTGAAATATATTGAAATAAGAAATCATTTTTGTATCTAAGGAAAATCTTGGGGTTTCACCAAGAAGAAAAAGCCAGTGGGGCTGAAAAACAAAAGACACCATTCATCATATAACGGCTGAAGATGAACATAAAATACAAATAATTCTGACCAATCAAAGCCATTTATCTTCTGAATTAAGTTTCTATTCATTAAAAATACAATCTACATAAAACCTAATGAGGGAGTTCGTTAATCTGAGGTGGTTTTTAGATTTTTTTGCCAGAGTAGGAAATGTTTTGCACAAGGTGCAACTTGTACAAAAAGCTAAACCAACATCCTTTTCAGAAACTAACATCAGCTGCAGTTTATCATATGTATAAGATTCTTATGTATCATATTGTCACCTTCCTAAAATAAGTCCTTTTCTTTACATTGAAAGTGCAATGTAAAATATGCAAATGTTAAACGTTACTGCATAGATTCAAATCTGCAGCACAAGTTAAAAGTTCTGCCTGAGACTCTCCCACGTTCAGCTGGTTTCTCTGAACTTCTCACCAACACTGAAATGAAGCCTGCAAATTCACACAGGTAAAAAATATTCAAAACAAAAAGAATGACAGGCCAAATTTAAGAAAAAATAATAGTGTGTTTTTTGAAAAGACCATGAAAGAAAATGTGCAACAAATCTGGGAGGCAGAATCTGTGATTGACCAGGTAACATAACTGACATCAATGTGGTCTGACAACTTTAATGCTGCAGCTCCAGACTTCCTGTTTGCACAGGAAGTCTGTGACGGATCACCAGCTTCTCTGTATGGAATGCCCTAAATGCCAAGACAAGATGGTAAAAAACAAAAGGAAAGCTACGTAAAGCCATCCCAGCGCTGCGCTCTAGTTAAACCTGCTCCTGACAGCAGGACGCCGGCCACGCCTTTATTTGCTCTTGCTTTAAATAACTGCATTGCTCCTATTTCCTTACACCTCTAATTCTGATCCTGTGGCTTTTGTCACTTACAGAAATACGGAGGCTACTCAGCATAAAGGATGGCGCAGAGAGAAAACTCCAACCTACAACATATAGCGTTTTCCATAAGGCGGGTCTCCGAGTTATAATACAAATCAAAACTTATTTTCTTTGACTCAGAAAAGAATCTGTAACATTTCCCTAATAATAATCAATTGAAGCCAAACTCCTGCAACACTTTACAGAACCTATTTGCTAAAAACCCTCTGAAAACAATTCCTTCCCCAAACATGAATCTGCTGAACCCTGACCTGCAGGGTTAGTGTTATGTTTTAAAGGGTTAGTGTTTAGTTTTAAAGGGTTAGTGTTTGGTTTTAAAGGGTTAGTGTTACGTTTTAAAGGGTTAGTGTTTGGTTTTAAAGGGTTAGTGTTTGGTTTTAAAGGGTTAGTGTTTGGTTTTAAAGGGTTAGTGTTTGGTTTTAAAGGGTTAGTGTTTGGTTTTAAAGGGTTAGTGTTTGGTTTTAAAGGGTTTGGTTTACGTTTTAAAGCAAACACCAGGCTGCTGGAGCTGCTCACCGGGTTCGTTTCTGCAGAGAAAACCTTTGGAGGAATCTGTTCGTTCCAGCATCACTTTTTGTTTCAGGAGTAACTACAATTAAACCAAATAGGTAAAATTTGTTAAATTAATAGTCAAACTAAACTGAAGTTAAATCAAGATGTAGAAAGGAATGAGAGTTTGTAGCTTAGCTGAAGGTGTGATCTGTTTGCCTCAAACTGGTGAACTTTCCGTCTGTGACCGACCGACTCAAAGTTATCACATTTAAAAAGTGACCCATTATTTTAAAAGCTGACCGATCTGAACCTTAAGGTTAAACTTTAGCAAAAATGCATGAAACAATCCAATCAGTTGGCAATAACTGTTTTCCTTCCCTTAAATACAATTCTATCAAAATTCAAGTATTAATTATTGACTTAAAACAAGCTGTTATATCTTGCTGGAAGATCACTTGTAAGTTAGTTGTCTCTAGTAAGTGATTTCAAGTTTACTGAAATATTTGTAAAGGTTCTTGGTAAGATGTGTTTGCAGTGTAGCCCTGCAGGATTTGACCGACATGATGTGAAGTCAGTTTAATTTTAGGTTCACTAGAGATCGACATTAATTTATCTTCTCAATATTTTCTGACCAATCTGGATTTCAAAGTCTCTCCAAAAACACGCACACAGCAAAACTGGCCGGGTTAAATCAACACTGAGTCCGTTTGGTCCTTCTCAGAATTGATCTCAGTTTAACGCTTCAATGATTTCAAAAAGACATTGAGTAATTTCAACACTTAAAAAAGTTCAAACTACCCAATCTCTTGTAAAAATAAACCAACTCTTCATTTTCTTTGAGAGAAATAAGAGAAACCATAAAAACTATAAATTAAAGACAACAGAGCTAATTTGCTTCTGGATATTTTATTCAAACTCAGAACCAAACCAGGCAAAGCAGCATTTAGTTCAGCTTAGTTTAGTTTAGCTGTTGGCTGGAGTCGCTCTGACTGGAGATCAGACATTTTTTATCTAAAAGACTCCAACACAGAAACAGACCGCAGTGAGACCTCTTGTTAATACAACAGCTTTGCTGTTCTGTTGTTTTTTGACTGATGAGTCTGAAGTTTAAACATACAGTAAACATCACATATTGAACCTGAAATACATTGCGATGTTTTAATGTAATTATTAGCTACTGTAGGCATTAGATGCAGAAGTTTTATGTTTATGAAAATATAAATAAAAAATTTTTCTTGCGAATTTATTTTGTGATTATAGTTTTTTACTGTTGCGTATGATAATTTTTTTAAATACAAACTATAAAAATGTAAAGCACTCTTATTTTCTTCTGCTACCTTTCTCACCAATCAACAGTACCGACCCGGCCTTTTAAAGTCTCTCCAAATCCAAACACGGTCCATCTGTTGAAGAGTTGTGGTGGCAATAATCTTTGAGTATTCACAGCGACTGTATTTTAAAGGAAAAACGTGGAAGCTGAAAATCCAGGGATCTGTTGGAGGGATCCCCAGGTGTCTCATACATAAACCCAAATATGCATCTTCAATGTAAAGAGCTTTAACGTGTCTGGAAGCCTCAATGAGCTTTTTGGTGAGATCCAAAGACAAAATGTAGCCCAGACCCAAAGCATAGGGAGGGTAAACATCATCGCTGAAAATTTCACGAGGTAAGTACCATTTGGAGTCGGGATTCCTGGAGACTTCTCCTCCATGTTCCACCAGGCCGGTCATGTAGTTTGTCCTTGGAGCCTTGAGGAGCAAGCTGACCAGATTGGGAACATTTAAAACATGTCTGAATCGATTTTCATGGCGTAAGCGGCGCTGGAGCAGTAGGAGTTCAGCCACTCCAGCATCACCATGGTCTTTATGGTCAGGTTCTTGTAGCAGTCCACAAAGTCTCCCTGGATGAGGTCGTGATGCTCGTTGCTCTCCTGCAGCAGCTGCTGGTGGACTTGCTCTGCATCGTCTCCAGTCTGCATCCCCAGCAGGAAGAGCAGCGCCACCACTTGGTTGTTCACCAGCTTCTCGCTTCCCCAGCTGTTACGGATGACGTCGCGATGAGCTCGGTTGCGTGGAGCCACTTGTACGATCAGAACCACAAACGGGTTCTCCTGCTTACATTTCAGTTCCTGGTTGATAGTAAAGTGGTACTCATAGGGGTACTCCACCAAGTAAGGTCCAGGAGACACATAAGGAGCCGCTGTCTGTTGGGCCGTCTGGGTTTCTAGCGTCTTCTTGGTGACCCCTGATGAAACTGTCTGCTGTTGAGTCGGTGTCTCCTGTGTTGTGGTGACGCTCGTAGTTTCAGGAAGTTCCAATCTGGTCAACTTACTCCTCAACTCCAATGTGTTTGTTGAATTATTTTGATTCAGCCATTTAGGGTTCCAACCACGAGCCATTCTCTGTATGTTTGTGCAGAAGTAAAGAAGTGCAACTCCCAGAACCAAAAAGAAGAAGCAGCACTGTCTTCGTGACAAAGTAAGAGAGCTCAGGTATTGTGCAGGTTGCGTATTCCTCATTTTCTGTCTGAAAAAGAAAAAAAAAAACATTAAACATTATTTTAATGTTTACCCTTCTGAATTGCCAAGTATTCTGTTTATTGTCAGTTTATTTAACAAAGTGATTCAAGAAATCTTTTATTCTCTTTGTGTATTACATTTATTCCTTTAATAATTCTCAAAACCAAGCCATGCAGGGAAAACAGAAAAGCTCTAAAATAAAATAAAATAAAATGAAATAGAGAATCCTTTGTTCTCACACAGGAAAATTCAGATGTACCAGCAAGATGTTCAAACAGCAATGTTCCTGAAAACACATGGATATTACTGAAATATTTCAATTTTGTCCAATGAAATACTGAATATTTCGTCTGACATGGCTCACAAAATTTGGAAGATTAAAAAATATATGTGCAGGAGTGAAGAAGGGGCTTTTTTCCCAAGATCTGCGACAGACTGGCGACGCGCCCAGGGAGACCCGCCTCTCGCCCGGACCGTTAGCCGGAGCTCGGCATCAGCAGCTTCCGACCCGGGGGACAAGAACATGGATGGATGGTTTTTCCAAGATGGCGGAGGGAATAGGAGCATAGTCAGCTAGCTGTCCAGAGTCGGTTAAGAAATGCCCACAGTAAAACTGTAACTCGATAGATAAAACTAAGGCATGAGTGGGATAAGCATGAGAATTAACCGGAGACACAATAAAAATCAAGACAGAACCGAAGAGCTGCCTGTAACG